ACATATATATATATAAGTAAATAAATATAACAGAGTGGATCACTTTGCGTTCAGTGTTGGCACCGTGTTATATGCTTGTCGTCTTGCAAAGTTTTCGCTGACCTGCAGACTATTTACGCGTCCATCCTTCTAGCCGCGGCCGTGGTTCACTCTAAACCCCATCCCTGGCCCTCAGTCCCGAACGTCACACCCAAACTGTTTAGGGTGTTTAGGGTTTAGCGCCTGTTTAGGGTTTGTAAGGTTCATAATAGGGTTTAGGGTTTAGGGTTTTTGGTGTGAGGTTTATAATGGGGTTTTGGGTGCCCACCAAGGATGGCATCAAGCGACTGAACACCATCCTCACCGACATGTGCCGAGACGTGTGGATGTACGTCTCCATGGAGTCACCCGGCTTTCTGAAGCTCAGTTTCCACGGGTTCGGGGGTTCAGGGTTTAGGAAAGTTTAGAGGGTTTGAGGTTTTAGGGTTTGGGGTTTAGGTTTTGGGTTGAGGGTTTAGGGTTCAGGGTTTAAGGTTCAAGGGTCAAAACGAAAGGCTTAGGAATTACTACGACGGTTCGCTGAGCAATCGGGCGTTAGCTGCCTGGGCTCGGTGGTAAAAGTCAAAATGGGTGTTGTCAAAAGTTGTTGTTTGGGAGGTGTTTTGAAGTTACACACCAAAGCTTCAAGCCCAAACACTACAAAGCCGCTGGGTCGTGAGAACGAGGTGTCCTGCGGAAGGGGGCGTCCTGCAGAATGACCCTGAACCCTAAAACCCTAAACCCTTGCTGTCCCTCGGTGTTTTGCCGCCTCAAGCCCTTAAAGGTTTTGAGATGTCTCCTTGTTTGTTGCTTCACCCAAAGGCTTTAAAGTATCGCTCCGGACAGCAGGAAACCCACGAAAAGACATAATCGAAATGTGTTTGGGGTTGTCGGTGGGTTCTGGGCTTCATGCGAGTTTGCAGGGCTCGGGGCTCAAGGCTTAATATAGGGGCCGCTTTTTTGCCTATGCTAATTTTGGTGTTCCTTGCTTTAAATAGATGTTCATGAACCGCAACACCCTATATATTCTATTTATTAAGGCCCCGGCCCTACATTAATGAGTTTCAGGGATCGGGCTCTGTGTTTTGTGTGCGTCAGGGCTTTCGGGGTTCAAAGATTGCTCGAGCTGTTCAGCACTTATCTCAGATTTTAACAAACCCAAACATCAACATATTAATTGCATGAAAGCACTTTGGGCTACTTCTCATAAATGATCTTGAAGGCCATCAAGTCAAACTACAACCCTAAGCGCAAACCCTAAACCCCAAACGCTGAAGCCGCAAAAACCCTAAAGCCCTGAACCCTAAACCCAAAAACTCTAAACCCTAAACACCTTAAACAAAAACTCAAAACCCTAAACCCCTAAAGCCTACTGGCCCAAACCCTAATCCGGAGGTTCCTCAGGCAAACTACAACCCGATATTCCCGAAGAAGCTTCAGGGCTAGACCCTCCTCTCAAGACCCTAAAACTGTAATCCCATCACCCGTAAAAAAAAGCCCTATACCTGGGCATCTCAAAAACCTACTTGTTTTTTTTGTTGTTTTTGGAGGGTTGGGCCTTCTAGGAAAGGGGTCATATCATAATCCACTATGTTGCCGGGTTTGGGGGACCCTAAACCCTAAACCCCAAACCCTAAGGATACAGGTAAGCCCTCGCCTCAAGGTACTTCAAGCAGAAGATCGTGGCCGGTGAGGTCGGTTCCAGCGCGATGCCGCATAAGGCCGCTCTCGGGTCTTCCGGGGGGGGGGGGTGTGTCAGGGTTTAGGGGTTTAGGGTTTTAGGGTTTAGGGTTTGAGGGTTTAGGGTTTTAGGGTTTAGGGTTTAGGGTTTTAGGGTTGAGGGTTTAAAAGTTTAGGGTTTGGGACTTTCCGAAAATTCGGGTACCTTATTTTGGCGTCCTTATAATAAGGATCCTATTTTGGGGGGGTACTATAAAAGGGGCCCCTATTTTCGGAAACCCCCATTTGAGGGTTTACCTGTAGCCGAAAAGACCTACCCTTTTTAGGTCCCTTAGGTAAGGCTTAGGGCTTAGAGGGGTTAAGGTTTTCTTTTGGTTTTGCGTTTCAGGTTTTCGGGGGTCTTTGGGCTTGAGGGCTTTGGGGTCTACGGTACAAAGCCCCGAACCTTGAAATCTCTCTGAATCCATGAGGAGGGCTCTTGAAGACTAGATTTCCCCTTATGCGACCTCTTCCCCCACAGTGCCTTTTTCGGTAAATAACCTTTAACTGTATTCCTGCTTGAAAAACTCTAGGATCTTGGGCTCCGAGGTTTGGCATGTACGTTTTGTTGGCTCTGTGTGCGTGTGTGTGTGTGTGTTTGTTTTTCGGGCCGGAGATTCGAGAGTCTATGTCTGTAGGGGTTCAGCATTTTAGGCGTCGGGTGCAGAGTTTAGGGTACCGGGGTTTAGCGTTTAGGGGTTTAGGGCTTCAAGGTTCAGGGCTTGTCCTGGGTGGGGTTGTAAGCATTTCGTGTTGGGTTGCTGATTGGAATGGGCGGCTGGGTTGTAATTATTGCGCCCGCAATGAGTACTCTAACAGATTTCCGGTGCATGTAGTTTTCGTGAGGTCAACCCCATCGATTTCGAGAATGCCGAGGGAAACCTGGGATTTGCAAACGTGGCTGAGCTCGCAAATGGTCGAAAGCTTTCTTGTGAAGCTTCCACAGACAGTTTCAGAAGTTCTATCTGGATAGAGAGCTTAGTTTGAGAGCATTCGCTTTGAGCCGTGAAGCATGTGTATCGAATCAGACTCTATCGAATCAGGCTGTCACCATGTTGGATGATGGTTCTACATGCTTCTTGTTGTTGATCACGCGTCATCCAGGCTTCATGTGCAGGAATCCTGCAAGATGAAACACCGTACTGATCAGCAAGACAGTGCTTTTTCGAAATCGAGACACCTAAACGACACACCCTAGACCAGTTTCCAAATCCGAATCCCAAAGTCATACAAAAAACACATTAGTTTTGTGCGACCCGAGAGCCACTGCAGAATCCCGCTTGTTTCTACAAATGCAAAGCATGGAGATCTTGAGGATTATCTTCCTGCAAGGAACCGTGCTAGATAGAGAAATTATGACAAGGAGCCCCAAGAAAGGTAGCTTTCTCGGGGTCATTCGGGTCTTGGGTCTGCCTTTAGCAGCAAGTCTGGTGTTGGCTTAGAGTTAGGACCTATCATTTCGCCTCAATCATTAGTCATACTCTTTCTTGGGGGTGCCCAAGTAGAGTTATAGTTGTGGTAGACAGCTCCTCAACACCTAGCCTAAGAACTCAGGCACCTTGTAGCAGCCGGTAGCGGCCGAAGCAAGCATCTTCAGTTTTCTCACGTTTCAGCTGATTCTTTCCACAAAGGGCTGTGGCGTGGGTTTGGGTTTAGGGTTCAGCGATTTGGCATGAATTTTGGGATTAGAGGCCATCTTTGCCCTAAACAGCCGGATCATCTTATTCCCGCAAGCTTCAGCAAGCCCCCCCCCCCCCCCCCCC